ACCTGTGCAACAGCATCTCCGGTGGATCTGTTTGTCCAGTATGCAAACTGCAACGAATCAAAGTCGGAGGGAAGGAAGCAGCTGATGAAGGGTTTCATGAGCCTCTCGAAGCACTTCATCACTACAGATGTCAGGGCTACTGGGCGATAATCATTGAGGCTAGCTGGGCGGGTGTTCTTCGGGATCGGAACAATCACTGATGTTTTAAAGCAGGTGTTAGAACAATAATCTCAATTTGAGATGCAGAAAAGTTAGTTCATGCCTTTATAACTTCTAGTCTGGACTACTGCAACACCATATTGGTTGGGTCATTAAACTGCATCATTAAACAAATTCCACTTGATGCAGAATGCTGCGACAAGAGTCCTCACAAGGAATAGTGTTACAACCGGCTCCAGCTGCAACATAAAATGAGGCAAACACAAGATAATTTAGTTAAATGCTTAGTTTATTGTAAAATGGAAAAATTAAAGATATCTAGAGTAAAGATAACGAACAACGTAAGTAAAGAACGACTGAGGTCTGTGCATTTCCCAAAACCCTTTGTTATTCCAGAATTAACAAAGAACCTTTAAGTAGTAACTGTCTTTCATGGCTCCTCCTCAGCCTCCGCGTAAGAAAATCATAAACTGTCAATAACAGGAAAATCAATCCCATGCATTTCAATGGTGAAATATATAACATATATAACATAAGTATGTGTTATATGATTGTCACACCAGATATATGCAAATGTAAAAAAGTACAGAAAATCAATAAAAACACAACAAAACAACCAAAATTGACAAAAAAAAAATTACCTATTTGTTGAAATTATATAAATGCACTCAAAATGTGATCCTTGTAAACAAAAGGACAATGGAGTGCAGCAATAGGAAAAGGAAGTAACACTTCTCAAAAGAAGCCTTTATTGAGGAGGTGGTCAAAAATATATTTTAATAGAATAATTACTGCAATGTTGTGCAGCACACTAGACATAACAAGAACAACACAGCATCAGCAAATCTTCGCACTCCCAAGAACTTGTGTAGAATCACATCTTTCACATGCCCAAAGCACGCTCTACAGCAGTGTGTTCTTTGGTGTGTGGTGTTATATCTCTCCTCAGCCACAGTTCGGGGATTCAACACTGGAATTGGCAGGTGATCGCTAAGAGGATGCCTGATGTCTCCCAATAAACAGCCACCAGCAAACACACCATCCTTTGCCATCTGACTCACTTCAAATCTGTACCAGATATAAGCATCATGTGTATACCCAGGCCACTAGGCAACAATGTCTGTCAAATGTCCTTGATGATTGCATATCACTTGGATATTTGTGCCTAGTGCTAATAACCCTTTACACAGGTGCAGGTGCACCTACAGGTATGCCTGCATTGGCATGAAAACCAATTTTAGTGTCATGCAAGGCCTCCCCTTCTGCTGGACATTGTATGTAGCTGTGCACACAGTGTAACAGAAATGTGGTCAATGCATGCACAGATGCGGTACACTGCAGGAATCCACTGGTGGCGTAGAAGCAGAGAGCTGTCAAAAGCTGCACAGTGCAGAAAATTCAGTGTGTTCCTCTTTTCAATTTATCCTGCACCAGACCAAGGAGGCTCATTATTTCACCCCAGGCAAGCCTGTATTTCTCTATGAACTGTTCATTAATGAAATTGCCCAAAAGGTTCATGGCCACCTGCAAAACAATATTCAGACAAGCAACTTAACTTCCTGGATGAAAGCATTGTCTTTGGTTTACTTGCACAACTTTCTGCCATTTCTGTCTCACCTTCCCACTTCAAAAGATGTGACTGAATGCATAGCAAGTGTGATTGGTTAGCTCATTATGTAGCCTGCAGATAATGAACTACAATAGCATTACAAAGCTTTCGGGAAAGCCACTCCAGATTAAGTAAAAATTTTTCCTCCAACACACTGAGCTATCCCAGCATGCTTAGGGACAATGAAGAGTTTTGATAAATATAAAACCCTGGATAAAGGGGCTCCGTGAATGAGGAGCTGAAATTATACAGGAGGGTCAATCCATCAGAGGAGACTCTGTAGAAGGACAGAGTACCGGCCTCCCAGTTCAGATACACTCCTACTCTGCGGGAACCTGAGGGGTGTATGGGTATGTAAGTTGGTTTATGATTGTGCCAGACAGAATAACTATGAGGAGAGCAACACAGAATCCATGACTTGTCATTATGTCCAAGCACACAGTCAGCACTCGCTTCTTTCCTCCCGATTCCTTTATAAGTCACTCCAATCCGGGCTCTGTCTGCGCTCCACTCAGCCTCCCAGTAACAGCGACCAGTCAGACTCTCTCTGCACAGAATTTGACAACAGATGAATCTCTCTGGATGATCAGGATATGGCTGCTCCTCTGCCACACATGTCACCTTCCTGTTCCCCTCTGACAGAGAAAGGCGCATGTATGCTGTGTTGGGGTCCAGTGTCAGCTGACAAGAGTCTGTAGACAAGAGGAAGAGCACACCATCACAAAGACCAGCATCTCCATCATTTTATCACTGTCACATCTCACACATTCATTAACACACATTTTATTCCCAATATACTCTTGTAGCCACTGCGACGTTCTGGCTGCCTCCTGTGCTGTGAGTGTGAGATATGCCGCATGGAGAGATCGATGTGGGACCAGACTGCACGGTAGCTTAGGAAGCGTATTACTGCCACGACATAATAGAAAAAAATATTCTCACTATCACGTTATAATGTGATACGATTTCTTGTTTTAACGTGATGTTTTCACGTTATAATTCAATATTTTCACGTTATCACGTGATACGATTTCTCATTTTAACGTGATGTTTTCACGTTATAATGTAATATTTTCACATTATAACCTGATAGTGAGAATATTATTTTTATTATGTTGTGGCAGTAATATGCTTCTGTAGCTTGTACTTTATTGTTTTATAAACACTAAAATAGTACAAAGAAACAGAATTCAAGCATGTCAAATAACATGTCATAAAAATGACTGGTGGGAAGACTTACCAAAAGTTGTGTGTGCTAAATTAACAGGTTTAATTACAGGTGAATAAAATTACAAAATAGCAACATCCATCAAACATACACTACATGGACAAAAGTATTGGGACATCTAGCCACCCAGGGCTCTGTGTGGGCTAGTCAAGTCTTTATGGAACTTGCTTTTGTGCACTGGGACACAGTCATGCTGGAACAGAAAGGGGCCTTCCCCAAACTGTTCCCATAAAAGTGGAAGCATTGAATTGTCCAAAATGTCTTAGCATGCTGAAACATTAAGAGTTCTTTCACTGGAACTAAGGGGCCTAGACCAACTACTGAAAAACAACCCCATACCAGTATCCCTCCTCCACCAAAATTTACAGTTGGCATGATGCAGTCGTGCAGGTAATGTTCTACTGGCATCTGTCAAACCCAGACACATATAACAAATTGCTGGACAGAGGCGGTGGCTGGACTACTGGATGCGTTCAGTGCCTCCAGGCTTGCTTTTGTTGCCTACTAGCTATCCTGTTCTCCTCTAGCATATTTATTTCATCCCGAGCTGTCACCAGGTATTGCAGTCCGCAGAAGCATTCTCTAGGTTGTGAGGTCTTTTTCAGAGACACCTTCATCTGGTCCTTAAACCTTTTGTGCAGGTTGAGGTTCTTGTTTTGGAAGACTCATTGCTGTAATCTTCCAAAGGCAGTTGCTGCTTGTTTGATCTGGTTTTGTATTTCATGATCAATTTTGCAGTCCTCTGCCAGGATGCTGCCCAGGTTTTTTTAATATATATAAAACTGAGCTATTGTGAGTTTTCTGAGCTGACTGTAAGGACTGGTGGTGAGTGTTGTGTTCCAAGGCTCTGCTGACAGATCACCCTCAGTTTTTGTGGTGTTATACAGATAAGCCCATCTTGTTAAAAGTTTTGACAAGGACTACTAGGATTAACTGAAGGTCTTGGGGATCGAGCCATAAGCACAGTCATCAGCTCCCTGTTCACAGGGTCAAATGCTTTGAAGAGATCAACAAAGACCATAAAGGTGTTGTTCACGGCACTTTTCTAATGAAAATCATATCAACTGACCTGTTCATGCCATTTTAGTGGAAACCACTTCCGTCTTATGCTACGTTCACACCGCGAGCGTCAAAGACGCCAGCCGTCGCTCCCGCCGCCCTGAACGCGACGCTAGCCAACACCGGAGACGCTCTCTAACGTCAGAGTGGGCAGGGACAAGGCCACTCAGAATGCCAGGCTCTGAGAACTTTTTAAAGGGGCCGCAAAACAAACAAATGTGTAGCTTATATCTTTGCGCCGACTCCTGATAGGACATAATAATAGGACAATAATATTGTTGTGAGCCAGTTATTTGCATTCCCGCTTAAAGTCAAGCGTTCTGGAGGGAAAATGTTACCTATAAATAGTGTAGCGCTTCTTTTCAAATTTACCTTCTCACAATGGATGATCGCCAAGTAGTTGCTTGTGCTTTATGTTTCTTTAGTTAAGATAAATAGTACTTAAAATGTATCACGACAGTTCTACTAAAACACATAATTATGTTTTAACAAACACTAACGCTATAAATAAGTTTAACATTGCTATGG